TATGTATATACAAATATATGTATAAACATGGCTGGTTTCTATAAGAATGTACAGAATAAAAATGCATGCATGGCCAGATGTGGTGGTGCATACCTGTGATAYCAGCGGCTCAGGAGGCTGAGGCAGGAGGATTGCAAGTTCAAAGCCAGCCTCAGCAACTTAGCAAGGCCCTAAGACAGTGAGACTCTGTCTCTAAATAAAATATAAAAAGGGCTGGGGATGTGGCTCAGTGGTTAAGTACCCCTGGGTTCAACCCCAGTACCCCCYAAAAAATTAAATTAAAAAAGAAAACCATCTTTCATTAATATTTAATTCCAAAACGACTCTGATGGCCCTTTTCCTAATGCAAAGAATGTCAGGTAGATGGCAGGATGTAGAGAACAGTCCCCTGTCCCCTGCCCCTGCACATYCTCCAGGCACACAGGGTACACAAAGCCCCTTGCCCTCCTGGCCAGGAATTCCCCCAACCCCAGGGCTCTTTGTGCTGCCTGGCTGTACAGGCCTATTCTWGAACCTTCTCCTGGACTTGCATTAGAGGAGCAGCTCTGAGAAGGGCATTTGGGCCTGCCAGGGGATTCTGGATGGGCTGGAAGGGCATTTTTGTATCCTGAGCACATTGGTGAGTTGAGGAGCTCTCCCCTGGCGGAGGAGCTCAGAATTCCATCATCTTCTCTCAGATCTCACCTCTGGGCCATGGTCCTGCTTCTGTCCATCTGCCTCTCATGCAGAGATCTGACGGATGAGTAGAAACTCACCTGCCCTCGTGCAGAGATCTAACGGAGCGCATGGAAACCACTAGGCCCTGTGCTGAGTGGGYGCAGCCAAAGCATTGGCCTAGAAGTCTAGAGTGGGCCCACGTGCACAGGCTCACTCAGCTCACACCGCAGTCCGAGGTCCTTCCACCCAGGCAAGCTCACTCCCTAGTCTGCTCTGCCCACCTGCAACATTCACACGGAGACCTTGTGACACCCACAGCCAGGGCGCCACTTCTGTTATCTTCCTGGAGACACCAGATCAACTTCACTTCCTTACTCCATTGATGCTTCTCAAGAACCCAAAGAGACGACGAGGGACACTACAGTCCACACGGCACAGATGGAGAAAGCAAGGGCCCCCTTCTCCGTGCAGCCACTGAGGGCCTGACTGTGGCACCCAAGGCTGGGCCTGCTGCAGGCTGGACTGAGCCCGTCACCCAACGACGTTAGGCTTGTATTCCTCTGCCCACCTCCTCACCTTGCTCTCCCAAGAACTGACCTCACTCTTAAACCTCGCTGTCCCMATCCTTTGTGATGTGACAGCCGGGAGGAACACACAGAATTCATGCCTGTAAACTGCCCAATAAATAGCTACAGTAGCCTTCCTCTTATCGGAGGTTTAACTTTTCACAGTTTCCACTATCTGTGGTCAAGGGAGGTTCAAAAATATTCAATGGAAAATTCCAGAAACAATTCATGAGTTTTAAAGCGTGTGCCAAATTGGAGTAGTTTTCGCCATTATATTCTGTCCCAAACAGGATGTGAACCATCACTTTGTCCAGTGTATCCGTGCTATATATGCTAACCCTCTCCTTAGTCACTTAGTGGCCATCTATCAGATGGACTTTCATGGTACCACAGTGTCTGTGTTCACGTAAACCTTATCGAGTAGCCCAATGCTACATCACAATGGCGACATCCCTCACCTCACTTCATCCCATCCAGTAGGCTCTGTGTCATAGACATCATCACAAAAAGGGTGAATGGGTACAGCATGGTCAGATATTTTGAGGGACTACATCTGCATAAATTTTACTATAATATATTGTTATAATAGTTCTGTCGTATTATTAATTATTGTTGTTAATATGTTACTAGCTCCATGGTTGAGTGCCCCGGGTTCAATCCCCATTATCTAAATAAATAAATAMATAAAATACAACTTTCATTAATCTTTAATCTCCAAGCCACTCTGATTTATAGATAGCACTCTTCCAAAATGGCACACATTTAAAAACATATGAATCGTTTGTTTCTGGAATGTTCCATATGCTATTTTTGGACTTCAGTTGACCACAGATACGGTGCCTGATTTATTAAGTTAAGCTTTATCGTAGATATGAAGGTACAGAGAAAGACCTAGTGATTCTAGGGTCTGGCACTCTCTGAGATTTCAGGCACCCCCTGGGAGTGAAGGAGGAACTAGTGTATTTGAATTACAATCATGGTTATTTTTCTGAGGTGAAAGTAGGAGAGAGTTATTTTCATGGCACACAAGGAAGTCAACCACAGGGAACTTGGTGTGGAGGCTTCTCTTTGACGGGTTTTGCCCTGGTGGGAGGCAACACCTCAGCTCTGCATGGGCCCCAGAGATCCAGTTCCACCTGAAAGTCCTGATTTTGCTTTCTTTGAGTGTTGCCTGGGGAAATATTTTATTGCTAAGCAGGTTTGGAAAAGGGAGGCTTTCACCTTTGGAAAAGAAGGTGTTATAAATGGCCAGGGCCCACACTGTGGAAGGCTTGTGCCTCGGTCCCTTAGGGCAAGATTGCAGTGAGCATCCGGTGGGGGCAGGTTATTTCACCATTTCCAAAGCGTCTCCCATGCACACTGGCTCTGTGGGGATATTAAAAAGGTGTGCCTATGACAGGTTTCATGGTTGATTTAAGTTAGGTCAGTGGTTCTCAAAAGAGGGTTACTGACCCGAGCACCAGCATCACCTGGAAACTGTTATAAATGTACAGTCCTGCTGGGTGTGATTGGGGTGCCTGGAGGACACCTGTCATCCCAGTGGCTTGGGAGGCTGAGGCAGGAGGGTTGCATTTTGAGGCCAGCCTTGGCAACGTAGTAGTGAGGCCCTAAGCCACTTAGAGAGGCCCTGTCTCTAAGTAAAATATAAAAATAAGGTTGGGGATGTGGCTCAGTGGTTGAGTGTCCCTGAGTTCAGTCCCTGGTACCAATCAATCAATCAATCAATCAGTACACACAAAAACCAACAAAACAAACCCAAACCAAACCCAAACCCCACGCAAACTCTGTTGAGGCTCACACACACTCCAGCCTGAGAACCACTGCYTGAGGGGAATGTGGGTTTGAATGAAGTCCCGTGGGTTCCTTCCCTGGGTGCTTGCTCCCGTCTCCAGCACTGCATGCTCCCTGTGACTCTTCAGGAAGGGGATCCCACGTGCATCCTTCCAGGTGAGGCCGGGGAGCCCCATCGTCACCRAGCACCCTTAGGGGACCCTGTTCTGTGGTCTAGACTGAAGGTCAGCCACAGAGCAGCACTTGTCCAGGCTGCCAGAAGCCAGGGGGCGTCCCAGACCCGCTATTCAYAAGGAGAGCTCCACAGGCCCTGGAGATGAATTTTGAGCTCAGGCTCTCCAAACTGTCAGAGAACACACCAAGATTAAAAAAAAAAAAAAAAACAATGGTGACAGGCTATTGTCAAACCAGCTTCCTCGGCTCAGGCAGAGCCCTCCCTGCAGGTGTGAGGAAGAGCCTTTGCTCTTCATTCTCTCCATAAGGTGGCGCTCCAGGCTTTCATTATTCTGTTTCCCCTGAAACTGCAGTATCCTTGCCAGGGGCCAGCCCGCCATCACCACGCACATTATGCAGTTTACTGAGATGGTTGCTTCCCCACACCTACAACCATGATTTGGACATTTTTTTTTTTTTGATACTGGGGAGTGAATCCAGGGGTGCTCAACCACTGAGCCAAATCCCCAGTCCTTTTTTATATTTTATTCAGAGACAGGGTCTCAGTGAGTTGTTTAGGGCCTCGCTAAGTTGCTGAGGCTGGTTTTAAACTGTTGATCCTCCTGCCTCAGCCTCCACAGCCGCTGAGATCACAAGTGTGCACCACCACGCCCGGCTGGACAGTCAATTTTTATTGTTGTTGTTGTTCTGGGTCACTGAAACAATGTATAGTTTAAAAACACAATAAATATAGTTTTATTGTACACAATAAAACTATACTAAACTTTGTTTTTCAATAATAATGATAATAATAATAAAACCCATAATGCACAGTTGCTGGAGGAGAGAGGAAAGGCAAGAATGCTGTAATCTCAGGCACATTCTTAATCCCGGGTACTGTTTCCATTCCTTTCAGTGCTATGAAAATATTTAACGATCAAATTGGGAGCAATCGATATGGCTATTTAGTTAGTTCTAATGGAGGTCAGTGATTGATTGGCTCAGGCTGAGAAAACAAGGAGTGAGGTGAAAAAGGGATCAGGAAACAGATTTCCTCCAAAAAACAAAACTGGGTGTCTCCCTTCCCAGAGGCAGGGCACTGAGCTGCTTCCGTATATTCTGATTTTGACTAGGCAGAATCATTATTGATAAGATTGCCACATTGAGTGAATAACGTCCACATGGCCCTTGGACCACACCTGGAGCACAAGATTTAAAAGCACTAACAAACTAGAGCAAATAAATAAACGAATTAATTTTAAAAATAATAAAATAAAAGCACAAAACATTATTATTGTACAACCTGCATATGTATCCCTAATTGTCCAGAGATATCACTTGATACGTTATCCCTTTCTCCCAGACCCATTTGAATGGCAGTTGTCTCTAAAGATTTAAAAAGGGGGGAGTGGGTGGGAGGGAGGCATGGTGGCACACACCTGTCATCCCAGCAGCTTGGGAGGCTGAGGCAGGAGGATCTCGAGTTCAAAGCCAGCCTCAGCAACTTAGCGAGGCCCTAAACAACTCAGCGAGACCCTGTTTCAAAGTAAAATATTWAAAAATGTCCGGGGTTGTGGCCACAATGACTTGTTGCAAGGGCATGTTAGAGGCTTCTCCCTGCTTTTAGCCTCCAGGCCAGGCGGCCTCAACCACTGGGGTGGTTCACACAGTCACAGCCCCATGAGGCTGCCACCCTGGACTTCAGTCCTACACTTTCTTCCCGAAACTTTGCAAAGAAATAGCAGAGCACACTGGCCCTTGGCACCACCACCGTGGCTCCAACACCTAAGAGAGGCTGAAAGCCAGCCCCGCCGTGCCACCCCGCAGCCTTACCGGGGACTTCTTGATGTCGGAGACGGCGTAGTTGCCTTGCGAGGTCCACCTGGCCGAGTCCGACAGAGACAGGCCCGTCCCGTGGAGGTTGATGCTAAACCGACCCTGCAACACAAAAAGCCAACACGAAAAGCCTTTTTAGCCCACGTGATGTCCCAAGCCACCGCAAGGGGACACCAGGAGAGGTGCCTGGGGAGGGAGGAGGACGTTCATGAGCTCTGATGGCCCCTGATTGTGGAGGGTATTTCGTTTGGGGCAGGGCCAGGCACTTTGCAAGCATCGCCTCATTTTTCCTCTCGAGAGCTCTGAGAAGGGGTTTCTTTACAGATGGGGAAACTGAGGCCCGGCGGTGCGGTGTCCCCGCTGGAGCAGGAGGAGGGAGGCTCATCCCGGCCTCACTTTTACATCCTCCTCCTCCTCCTCCTCCTCCTCCTCGACTCGGCCTCCCTAGCACGGCCATTCTGGTGTTGCTCACAATTATCAGATTCCTCCGGGAACAAAATGCCACCGTGTAATTTTTCTAACAAGATCTCGCTGCCAAAGCGTCCTGGCCTTCGAGCTCCCCGGGACGCTGGGCACAGAGTGGCCTCGGCACAGCGGGGCGGGACTTCAAAGAGGAGGCGCTTCCCGCTGCGGCCAGCAGAGGGCGCGCGTGGCCCGCGCAAGACCGCAGGGCCCGACGGGCTGCTCCTTCCAGGCCAGGGACACAGTGCGCAAAGGTTTCCCGGGTGGTTTGCAAAGCATTTATTCCTAAGGCGTGGAGCAGCAGAGCGATCCTCTGGCTGCTCCCTCCCTCTGTTTCTCTCTCTTAAAAATGACCCTGCAAAGGCTTCTGGAACCGGCTGCTTCTCGGAGGCTTCCTCCCTGGTGAGCAATTTCAGGGCTGGACATATTCTCATGTGCAAGCTCTCTGATTCGGGCGCCTCAGGGCTTTCATCAAGGCACTYCTTACAGAGCAAAGACAGAGTGGGAGCTGGTGTTCACGAAGACAGACCCCAGTATGAGGTGAGCTGTTTTACCAGCAATTATATCCTGGACAGTTTTTTTAGCATCTCAGAATCTCAGTTTGTCCATCTGTAAAATGGAAGGTAATAATAAAAGTAACCCCTCTGTAGTGAGAGAGAAATGAAATCATCCCCAGGTAGGGAGCAGAGATGCAAAAACCCTGATATCTGTCCTGCATTCTCTACTTGTGTCGTGAGTTAGTTTACTTTCCCCAGTATAACAGTAAGCGTATTGAAKGCAGGGCCTTGGTATTGCTTTATGCATATTAGTTATGGTTTATAACATGACTAGTCACTTGATGATGATGATTATTGATATTTGGACTATGGGGGTGTTCTACCACTAAGCTACATCCCCAACCCTTTTTATGTTTTTTACTATTTAATTCTGAGACAGGGTCTCACTGAGTTGCTGAGGCTGGTTTTGAACTAGCGATCCTCCTACCTCAGCCTCCAAAGCTGCTGGGATTACAAGCGTGCCCCATTACGCCCGGCCTTGATAGACTCTTAATAAATATTCCATTCTAGCTGATCAATGAGATGTGCAGGACCAGGACTCTCCTCTCCCTGCCTGTTCCATAAACAAGAGCTGATGGACCCCTTTGGAGCCTTAGATTCCACAAACACAAGATGAGGACAAACAGGACTCCTATCCCTGGAGGAGACCAGAGGGCTTGGTCTGGTCTCACCCACAGCAGCTCTCAACCATGGGCAAGATTCTTGCTGCCAGAGGAAACCCTTGTCCAGAGACATGTTTAATCATCTCACCTGCTGGCAATGAGAAGAGCCCGAGGATGCGTCTCAGCCCACCACAGAGAGTCTGCCAGCCCCCAGGGTCCAGAACACTGCGCATGGGAAACCTGGGGAGGGCTGGATCTCTGGGGAGGGCTGGATCTCTCTAGAATGCCGACTCCTGTGTTCTCTTCAGTGTGGTCTCTGGCAAACGGCTCAGCCCTCCTGAGCCCAGGTGTAAAATCGCCTAGTGAGACCTAACCTGTGACTAGGAGGCAGAACGCTTGTAATTTGTCACCTGGCAGAGAGTAGGAGACATTTGGAAACTATTTTTGGAAAGATTTTCATGACAGTACTACACAGATGTCAGGCAGCAGCCTCAGTACCCAGGTGTTGGTGTTGTGGGGGGACTGTCCCCGATTGTCCCTTAGACCCTGGGTTCTAGCTTCTGCATCCTCCCATCTGGCCGTTTGCTTAGTCGCTGTCATTCATACCCGGAGCTGCGGGTCTCACCATGCATAATACCCAGACCGMAAAGTTGCCAAGGATGGGTTTTTTAAAAAATATTTTTGGCTGTAGATGGACATCACACCTTTGTTTTATTTGTTTATTTTTATGTGGTGCTGAGGATGGAACCCAGGGCCTCACACGTGCTAGGCAAGCGCTCTGCCGCTGAGCCACAACCCCAATGTGATCACCTTCTTTGCAACCCCTCTGATCCTGCTTCCACTCACACCGTTTGATCCCTTGTGTGTCCTGTCCCAGCGTCCAAGTTCCTAGGGAGTCCAGGCCGCTGACCTGGCTTCTATCCCAACAATGGCCCCAGCTCATCTGGGTGTCCCGTGTCTGAGCACCTGATACAGAGTCGACCAGCTCTGTCTTCTCAGCAGGGTAACAAACCCAAACGCAAGAGAGATGGTCCTCACACTCCTCCTGCTTTTTCTGGATCAGGAAACTGCAAACATCCTGGCTAAGTATCCGTACTTTGAAAGCTGAAGACTGCCAAAGAGGCAAAGAGCTTATCTGATGTCTTTTTAGCTCCATTCTGGGACACCTTTGCCCCTAAAGGCTTTACCTTCAAGGCCTAAATGGCGTAAGAGTTGTAGCTATTACCTCCTGTTGCTGATTTAAAAGAGGGAAAGTAATTAAGAGTTAGGCACATCCCCTAGAGATCTGCAAAAGACGTGCTTAGGCCAAAGAGAGATCCTGTCCTCTGACCTAAAGAATATGAGGCAGAAATCTTGCCTGGAAACAGAATCAGAAAAGACATCTAGCCAGGCGCAGTGGTGCACGCCAGTCAACCCAGCAGCTGGGGAGGCTGAGGCAGGAGGATCACCAGGTCAAAGCCAGCCTCAGCAACTTAGTGAGGACCTAAGCAACTCAGTGAGACCCTGTCTCTAAATAAAATATTAAAATATGGCTGGGGATGGGGCTCAGTGGTTGAGTGCTTCTGGGTTCAATCCTTGGTACCAGAAAAAAAAAGACATCTACTATCACAGATATGGATTCAGACACACTTGGGATCCAATGCAGCCTCTCCCATGCGCTGGTTGTGTGGTTCAGACAAGAACCAAACCTCTTCCATTTCCTCACCACAGAATGCTGGGCCATGGACCCAGGGAGCCTGGTGCCTGAGACACAGAGGAGGCTCAGAATAGCAAGCTATGAGTGCCAGCAAGGGTGATCCCAATAATGCACATGCCTGATCAGGGTGACCGTCTCTCATACATACACTCCTGCCATTTCTTTTTTTTTTAATTTTTTAATTTATTGGTACTGGGCATTGAACCCAGAGGTGCTTAACCACTGAGCCCCATCCCCAGCCCTATTTTGTATTTTATTTAGAGACAGGGTCTCGCTGAGTTGCTTAGCGCCTCACTAAGTTGCTGAGGCTGGCTTTGAACTCGTGATCCTCCTGCCTCAGCCTCCCCAGCTGCTGGGACGACAGGCATTATTCACCGTGCCTGGCTCACTCCAGCTTTCTCTGGAGGYGAGAGCGCTTCTGTTGGAAAAGAAATACTCTAAGCAACAGGAAGAAGAGTCAGAGTCTGAAACAGAGAATCTCTCCACTGGGGAGATGGTGCAGGGGCAGTGCCCTGGCCTAGCACGCTCAAGGCCTGGAGTCTGATCCCCAGGGCAGGGTGGGGGTGGGGGATCCAAACAGAGCCCCTCTCTGGTTTCTGCACAATCACCAGGAGCAAGGACTCATCATTTTCTCCAGAGCAGTGTGCACAATCGTTCTTTCTGCAAACCTTTCCCCGGAAAACGGATGTGAGAAGCTCCCCTCTCTCATCAGCACCCGGGGCTCCCTAAACGTCTCAGGAATGGAATCCCAGAGGACACCGTGGGGTTTGAAAAAAATACCCAAGAGCTCCTCCCCGGCTGGGGCTTTTCCCCTTTAGCAATTGCGTTCTTCGTCAGAATTCAGCAAATCCATCAGGCCATTTGTCTCTGAATTATGAAAATAAATGAATGCAAATGACCCTTCCTTCAGTCATGTTTCCCAAAAGATGAGCAGACAGAAATAGGAGACCTCTGAGCCATGTGAAAGAGGCAAGGCAGGCCCATCTATGAGCCATTAAGACGCGACCCGTAGCACCCGGGTGTTGAAGCCAGGCGGCCCTAAAAAAACAGCACTTCAAACGCTTTCAATCCCTGACCAGTAGAGGGAAGGCCCCTTTTACCATCAGGGCCTGTGTTTACTTTCTTCCTCCCTGAAGAGCTCTCTTTTCCCTTCCCTAAACGTTTAGCGATGGGGGCTGAGAAAACACTTCCTTAAAAGAAAACTCCCTTGTGTTTGTCTCGGGCCTTCTCTGTGGTTGGGGCTGAATCCATCCATCCTACGGGAGGCCAGGGCCTGAGCACAGCCTTCTGTCCTGATCCCCAGACTTCTGAAGGCCAAGTGGGAAATTGCCAGCACAGAGTGGAATAACAGCTTTGTGAAGACCTCACATGGACCAAAGAAAAACCCAGGCCAAGTTCCCTGGACCAGAATGCACAAGTTCATTAGGTTTTGTCCTGCTTCCCAAGCGGAGAAGCTTCTTGCAAAGACTGTTGCTTGTTTTGCAAAATTAGCCTGGGATGATGATTCCAGCATGTCTCAAAAGGCCACACTTCTGGCTGGGTGCCGTGGTACATGCCTGTAACCCCAGCGACTTGGGAGGCCGAGGCAGGAGGATTGCAAGTTTGAGGCCAGCCTCAGCAACTTACTGAAACCCTGTCTCAAATAAAATAAAATAAGATCAAAACCAAAAAGGACACACTTCTGAAGAGACTTGAAAGGGTAGAACTACAGAATGGACAGATCCAGTAGAAGATGATGAATTTGCACTTCTGACCTGAACATTGCAAATTTTATAGACCTGAAGTAGGACTAACCGATTGGGCTAATGACATCCACAGAGCCCCAAGCTTCAGTCCTACCAGACTTCTAGAACATACTATTACATCATGGTTTTTAGTTTACTTGTTATTCTCCTCAAACAGCTATAAATCCCTCAGGAGATGGACATTTGTGGGTCTCTACTAACCAGAATGGTGCGTATCAGAGAGATCAATGATCTGCTAAGATGATTCTAGAAGTGTTCCGATTACAGAATCAAAGGGATCCATGTAGTGCTTGCAAATTTTGAGACCCCCAGGTYCAACATTAATTTCTCAAAAATGTTTAACAAAATATATCTCACTAGTGTTTAGAAAAAGGTTCTTCCAGACTTTGTTTCCACTTAGATGTTTTTTAAAACACATCGGAGCTGGGCATGGTGGCACACGCCTGTAATCCCAGCAGCTTGGGAGGCTGAGGCAGGAGGATCAGGAGTTCAAAGCCAGCCTCAGCAACTTAGCCAGGCCCTAAGCAACTCAGCACGAACCTGGGGGCTGGGGACAGGGCTCAGTGGTGGAGGCCCCTGAGTTCAATCCCCCGTACCCCAAAACAAACAAACAAAACATACACAACACACAGGAACTTGGGAAGGGCTCACTGTGGCGCAGGTGCTCAGCAGGCACRAGGCCTGGGATGGATCCTCAGCACCACAAAACCCAAAACCCAAACCAGAGAGGGGACATAGCGAATACGGCACTTATTTTTGATCGCTAAATCCATAAGCATTTTCTACATTATGCAAACTTCAGAATTTTGAGTGGCTGAGCAGAGTGCGGTGGGGCCCCTAAAACAGGCTTTTTAGTCAATGGTGAGCATCTCTCTCCAACTTTCCTTTCAGGGACATCAGACTGGCAGCCTGAAATCAATCATGGGGCATTTTTTTTTTTTTTTTTGTACTGGGGATGGAACCCAGGGGCGCTTAACCACTGAGCCACATCCCCAGCTCGTTTTAAAAAAAAAGAAAATTATTTTTTCAGTTATAGGCGGACACAATATCTTTACTTTATTTCCACGTGGTGCTGAGGATCGAACCCAGTGCCTCAGGCATGCTAGGCGAGCACTCTACCTCTGAGCCCCAGCCCCAGCCCTTTTTATTTTGAGACAGGGTCTCACTGAGTTGCTTAGGGCCTTACTAAGTTGCTGAGGCTGGCCTTGAACTTGTGATCCTCCTGCCTCAGCCTCCCAAACCACTGGGATTACAGGTGTGTGCCACCATGCCCGGYTATATCTGGTGCCTTTTGCCTGAACTCAGAGATCAGGCGTGCAGCTCTGGTTACTTTGCTGGGAACCACTCTGGGAATGGAATCACTGGATTAGACTCTGCACAGATTTGCAAGACCCGCTAATGCATGTGTCCACACGCCCTGCAGAGAAGCTGTTCCCATTTCATCCTTGGAAGCATATGCCACCGAGGAGGGTGGCCCTGGGGTAGGCAGGGCGTGGAGGCTGGGTAAGGGGCGAAGCTCTGAGGACATACCTGTGGACACTTGGCAGCACTGTAGCAGTCCCCAGCTGTGGCAAAAGGCACGGGGTGCCCTTCACTTGTCCTTGCAAACTGTAAGTCAGTGGCTGTTGGAGGGGAGAAAGGGTTAAGGGGAGAGGAAGAGAGGGGGGGGGAGGGAGGAAGAGAGGGACAGGATATGAGTGAGGAGAAAGAGGGAAGAAGAGGAGAAGAGGAGGAGTGAGCAGGAATGGGAGAGAAAGAAACAATTCCAAGGATTAGCCAGTAACTGGATCCAGATGTGCTGCGGGGGTTCCTCCTTAGATCTGTGGTTCAGAGACAGAGCTGCGCTCCCGGGGTTTATCRGCACTGACTGTCTCCCCCCAGTATGGAAGCCCAAAGGGAGTTTCTTGCGACTTTGGAATCTAGTCCTACATAAATAAATAGGTGAGTCTCCTCCCTGAAAGGCAGGACCCTGAGGGACCTTCTGTCACTCTGCCTCCCAGGCTTAAGGCTGTGGCCAGGGGAGCTTTGCCAGCCACTCAGGGCCTATCCCCCGAGGGTCCATCTGTCCTTCTGTGGCCTGGGCACCCTGATTGCCAAAATGTAGAGCAATTAGAACCCACATCTTGAAATGATTAATGGCAGTTTCCCAAGTGTAGCTAACTGGAGTTTTTTTTTTTAAAAAAAGGAACAAGAAAAAGCCAATCAAAATACTGCTGACCCAGAGCTTGCGTTTTTAACCCTGCCGTAGCTCCAGAGCCCAGTTCTGCAAACGCCTAGGAGCCATCAAAGTGAGAAGGCTGTCGGACATGTCTTCTGGTGGGACTGGAGGCCGGAGTTTATTTATCTTCCGCTCTTTTCTTTTTCTTTTTGGTAACTTGAGATTGAATCTGGGGGCACTTAACCACTGAGCCCCATCCCCAACCCTTTTTTATACTGTATTGAGAGACAGGGTTTTGCCAAGTTGCTTACAGCCTGGCTAAATAGCTGAGGCTGGCTTCGAACTTGCGATCCTCCTGCCTCAGTCTCCGGAGCCGCTGGGATCATAGGTGTGCGCCACTGAGCCCAGCCGGCTTTGATTTTTTCAGGAATGGCCAAAGCCCTTCATCTTTCTGCAGAGAACCACACTTGGGTGGGAGGGAAATGGGAGAGCTTTGTTCTGCAAGCTGAGGTGCCTTCCAAGGGGAGAAACTGCAGTCCCTGTGCCTTGAGCCCTCATCAGTCTGGCCGAAGGAAATTAAAAATATGTTGGAACAAATCAGGTTGAATCTACCTCGAGAGGAAAAGCCATGCATATTCTGGTTCAATTTAATGAGGAAAAATTCATTATTCATCRTTTCTGTTTTTCCTCTGTTGGAGGGAGCACGTTTGGATAGCTGAGCTGTCTCTAAGCACTCTGGTGATTAATGTCCCCAACAGAAATGCAAGGTGGCCAGAGCATGGAGCAGCCCTCCTGCAGGCTTGTTAGAAAAGGTCACTCCGTGCTCCATGTTTCTTCTGGAAATTGACAATCAGGTGGAATACGTTTCCGCCGTGTTTGGGGGGCACTGTGCTGGTGGGAGCTGCTGGGATAAAATCTGCTCAGCTCTGGGGCTTTCCACCTGTTGACTGTTCTGGAAGTTTCTGCGTCCACCTTTGCTTTCCTCACACTGACACCCCTGTGCCTGGCTGACCATGTTTTTTTCTTTTTCATTGTTTGATTGAGCCCAGGGGCACCTAACCACTGAGCTGTGTCCCCCACCCTATTTTTTAATTTTTATTTTGAGAGAAGAGCTTACTAGTTGGCATACAGTCTCCTTAAATTGCTGGGGCTGGCCTCAAACTTGCTCTCCTCCTGCCTCAACCTCCGTGAGCAGCTGGGGTTACAGGCGGGTACCACCGTGCCCTGATCTGGGAGGGGAGGTACAGGGGATTGAACTCAGGGGCACTCACCACTGAGCCACACCCCTAGTCCTATTTTTGTGTGTGTCTTAGAGACAGGGTCTCACTGAGTTGCTTAGCCCCTTGKTTTTGCTGAGGCTGGCTTTGAACTCCTGATCCTCCTGCCTCAGCCTCCTAAGCTACTAGGATCACAGGGGTGCGCTACCAAACCAGCCTGAGTCCTTCTTGATCCTCATGTCATAGCAAGTGTCATTTGTCTSTGGTTCTGTCCTGATTTCCCACACTGCATCGGGGTCTTTCTAAGGGACATGGGCCTCGGTCATTCATCACAAATCTGCCAGGTACAGTACAGGGAGTGAAGACCAGACCCTGCCTCGGGGCATCCTAGCTAGGGACTGTGGTTACCGAAATGCAAGCTCTCGGGCCTCGTGGCCTCTGCGGCCTCCGGCCTCACCCCCCTCCCCCGCAGGACAGTGGGTGGCCCGGAACTCACTGACTATCTGCATGCTGCTGAGGTCCAGCCGGATCTTCTGGAAGCTGGAAAACCCGGCCGCCGTGTAATCCTTCCTGCACGGGCAGTCGTCGCGGCGGCTCCCGTTGTAGGGACACTCGGTGGGGTTGTGCAACCTACGCCAYGGAGAGGAGGCTCAGACAGGAGGCTCGGGTGGGGACAGCCCRATTTCCTGGGGCTCCCCGGGTGTCKCCTGGCTGTTTCTGAGCGGCTGTCCTACCTGTGCCCGTAGACCTCRGAGAAGTTCTCGGCGTCCCCGCGGGCCAGTGTCACGTACTCCTTGGGGCGGTCCGACTTCATCCCGGAGCAGAAGACCTGGGGAGGCCGGAGGAGGCCGTGGGGAGCGGTTCGGGGACACAGGACGGGTGGGTCCCCAAACACGCTCCCGGATGACACTCACCTTCAGGGGCTTCCCCCTGATGATCAGGAAGTACTCGCCGTCCTCTCTGGCACCGGTGAGTCGTTGGACCTCCCTGCAGTTCTGGGGTAACTGGCCTGGAATACCCGAAATGCAGAGAGGGAGTGGATGCGCCCAGATGGGTGGGGACCGAAAATAAAAAGGATGGTGTCCTTGGCACCAAGATGTATGAGCAAAGGGGAAGATTTCTTTAACAATAGCATTAATAGTGCCTGCCTCTAATCCCAGAGGCTGGGGGGCTGAGGCAGGAGGATCGCAAGTTCAAAACCAGCCTCAGCAAAAGGGAGGCCCTAAGCAACTCAGGGAGACCCTGTCTCTAAATAAAATTCAAAATAGGGCTGGGGATGGGGCTCAGGGGTCAAGTGCCCCTGGGTTCAATCCCTGGTAACCTCCCCCCGCCCCC